CTGGAAACAGTGAGAATATTTTACACGGCCAAGAAATATGTTCCCCCACAAACACTATTGAACCTTTCCTTAATCCATTGTTTTGAAACCTAATATGGTTCCTCGGTGAAATTTGTGTCAGCCCAAGTGATACCGCAGTCATCGTGACTTTCTTCTTCTTCTTCCTCTTCCTCCTGCTCCTGTCCTTCTTCCTCTTCCTCCCCATCCTTCTTTCCTCCTCCTTCTCTACCCTCCCCTCCACCTGGGCCACCCTCTTCTTCCCCCTTCCTCCCCCTTCTTTTTCCTTCCTCCCCCTTCTCCCCCCTTCCTCCTCTCCTCTCTGTCTCCTTCCTTCCTCTCCCACCTCCCCTCCCCACCCCATCGTCCCTTCATCCTCTCCTACTGTCTGAAAATCACATCACCCGTGAGTAGCACACAGAATGACAGGAGATTTAATAAAAGTTGCTTTCTTACTAAAAATTATCAGTTTCGATCTTTCACAGATGGTAATGCAGAAAAACTGTAGATATGAATAAGAAGGAAGAGAGTAGAACTTTTTCTTGATGAGATTGTTTTCAGCTATGGTTGAGAATTAAGTGTATTAGTTACTTTCTTTTTTCTGCTACTGGAAGAAACAAAGGAACTTAAGGCTGAAAATGGCCAAAATAAATTGAAGCTGGGGAATACTATAATGATCAGAGACATTCCCAGAGACTCTGGGGAAAACCAAGTTGCAACAAGCTGGATGTGAAGATTGTTGGCCAGGAGGTCTTCAACAATTTATTAATGTGCTGGATTTGTTTAATGTTTATTCATATGAGAAACTGGCCCAGAGCACTTTAAGACTTTATCTTGTTCACACTGTAGTTTGTGTGTGTATTGCTAACGAAGGTCAGATTTCCTACTGTCAAAAAATACTCTTACATTTTCAATGTTATTTTCACTTGTAAGTTCACTTAATAGTGTCATGGATGTTATTGCTGTTATTACAACATATGTGTAAACTTTGGGAGATTTATTAATCAAATCTTGATTTAATACGTATGAAAGCAGATCTCTTGCCATTGTAGGGGAACACCTACTTTTGCATAGGCCATCAATCCGATGGAAAGAGTATTCTTAAGTAAAGAGAAAAACACAAAGCCTGTCACGGTCACATTAAAGCATGATGCCAGTCCTTGAGTGCCTCAAGAATGAGAGATGAGCTTTAGACCCAAGACCTACATATATTCTTAAGATGGGTTTCATGGTCCACACTTGTAATCCTAGTGCTTGGGAAGCAGAGGCAAATGGTTGTTGGGGTAGCTCACTGGCCAGACAGCCTAGCACAGTGGATGAACTTCGGGTTTCAGTAACAAACTGTGAGAAAAACAAGTTGAGCTGCACTGGGGGACCAGAATCTGAGGCTGCTCTCTGGCCCCCTCAAACATATAGACACATCAGTCTGTACACATGTACACAGAGACATAAGAACTACATGTATTTCTACTTGAAATAAAATGTGGTTTGGCCACTATTATGACTGTGTTCTACTTCATGCTTATTCTCTAAATATTTGGGGACAAAAAATGGAACAAAATGATAATTTACCAGCTAGACAGGTGCTGGACAGGGTGGTGGGGTCCATAGCCACAGAGGCAGAGGACTTCATTGTATTTTTCCAATCACACCCACTGCCTGTCCTTTGATTGTATTCTCCGTGTGTTTTACTCAGTCTTTCTGCTTTGATCTGTGTTTAGCTTTTTACAAATTTGTTCTAAAGGCTTGGAGTGAAGTGATATGTACATATGATGCAATGCCCTTGGATGTCAGAAGAGGGAGTTGGATTCTCTGTTGGAGCTGGTGTCGCCCATAGTCAGGAGCCAGCATGGGGGTGCTTGGAACCAAATTCAGTCCTCTGTGAGAACAGCAAGTTGTTTTGACCTCTGAACCATCTCTCCAGCTACTGATGAGTTCTACCTTTTGGTAGGGAATTTTAGGTTTTCTGTAATGATGGTGAAGAAAAAGAATTTCACATGCTCACTTGACTCTGAGGTTCCCGGTGTACAAAACTCGGGATCTTTGATCTCTATGCTCAAGAAATAAGTCACTGGGAAATACATTCTCATGATTACCCTATTGAGCAAAGGCAACATGGCTTTAAATGCAAATTTCCTCCTTTTGAAAAAAATGGTTTTTTTTGCGGCAGTTGGGGAAACATTGCTTGTTTGGTTGTTGCTATATTTTAATCCCTTTAATTCCAAGCTGTAGAAGTGTAAATAATATAAACAAATGAGCAACTGAGAATTCTTTTTATATTTTTATTAACATGGTTTGACCTTCAACAGTTTCATGTAAGCATGCCATGCTTTCTGATGACTGTCTCTACTCCATCGCTTATCTCTCTCCTACCCCTTCAGGCCCCTCTTTCCCCTATAAATCCGGTTGCCATACTCATGACTTTGGGTTCTGTTTCGGGTCCCACAGAGTTTGATTAGTGTCTGTGCATGATCACAGGTTTGGAATTATCCATCAAAGCTTGAGGGCTTGCCAGTAGGTGGTTATATGCTGCCCATCTCCAAACTTCTGTTAGTTGTCAGTAGTTCAATGGTATGTGGTAGGGGCCCTTGAGCCTCCTCCGCATTCATAGCTGACTGAAGGTGGGTGGGGCTGCCTAGTCTGAACCCAGTACCAGCATGCAACTACTGTGAGTTTCAGGGCTACAGTGATCTTGCTGTGCTTAGAAAATGGCATTTTGTAACCCTTTTCCCCACCTTACAACTCTTTTTTTCTCTCCGTACCATCTTTTGTAATATTCCCAAACCCTGAACGACTGGTATAAATGTCTTGTTGAGGACTAAATCATCAAACGATCTTTATTCTCAGCATCTTGTGCAGTCACGGGCCTACATTCACCTTCATTCACTGGGAAGAAAGGCTTCTCTGACAAAGGCAGAGAGTAGCCTTTGTCAAATCAACACAGATGCTGCAAGGAGGTTTGGTTCTCTATCAGTTTAGCCAAGTAGCAGCAATAAAGATCCCCGCTAGGGCCTATGACCTCCTCAGTCATGAGTTGTCCATCAGACTTATAGCACCAAGCAAGTATTCCCTCTTGCGGAACGGCCCTCAGATCCAATTATTGTTTACATGTGTGTGCCCCCCTGTGTATACAAACCTCCAAGCACTGATGCCTCGGCTACATATGAAGGCTTGGTAGACGTGACTGATGGTTTGTTATAGTAGGTCTAACCCACAATAGAGGGAGAATTGTTGCTATTCCTTTAAAGAACAGGGCAAACACTTTTCATGTTATTTGTCCTACACTGGTATAGTTTATGCTTTATTTGTGTTTTAAGCTATTGTTTCAATCCTATGGCAAAACTGTAAGCAAAAATAAATGTATTAACTCCATGCTTGTAGCAATATTTGCTCATATATCTCTGTTTAAGAGGGAGTAAAAGAATCCTAAAATGGCAGAACTGCAGATGTCTGTAGCCATTCTCTCATGAGGGAAAGATAGCATAGAGGGAAATCACATTCCCACACTAAAGAAATCCACTTCAAATCTTTAGATGTAAACAAACGGCCCTAGAAAGGTTAGATGTAATTAATTTGGGGGAAAGTTCTCCTGATCATCAAGTAGACCTAAAAGCAGGCCTCGGCACACATATTCTGAAACTCTAAGACAATTGAGCCATTTGTAAAGAACAAGGCAGGCTAGAAGGATGGATGAGTTTTGCATCAAGCTGCATTTTGTATTTTGGTATCTTCAGCAGCTGATGAATCTCTCAAAAGTATTAGAGTGGCAAGAGTAAATTTAGATCTTCATGAGAAAACATTGTAAGCATTAGTAGCCTTTATTTTTAGGAGGGTTTCCAAAACTAAGAACATCTCTAACTAGTACAATAGTTTTAGAGTAAATCACCTTTGATCTTGTGTTAAAATGTGTTGGATTTTTTTTAAGTTTAAATGTAAAGAGAAGATGTAATGGAAGTTTATAAGGAAGGAGTGGCCCATTGATGTTTTAATAATACCGAGTATTAATTAATCTTAGGAATCCTAGCCACCTATAAATCATGTGATATCTAATGAGCATTCTGAAAGTTCATATGCTGAAAGTAGTTGTCATTACCATGACAACCCTCTGTAGTCACATTGTGACTGGTAGAAGCCATTGGGATATCCACCCTAGTCCTCTGTTACAGGACTCCCTTCAAGGTCATGGGACATTCTTGGTGAATGGATACCTTTCTCCCTTTTGTAAAATCAGGAAGGAAATTTCATTGTGGAATTAAAAGTTGGTAGCAGTGTCAGGTAATGCTTCCTTATTGTTTTGACTGGCATTTTATTAATAATCGTGATGCTGATTTTTCCCATTCCTGTTGGCCATTTGCCTGTGTCCTGAGAAAAGTACATTGGGTTCTCAGTAATCATTTGATGATAAGCTCCGGTTGCTTTGTGTTTCCTTTGCTTTTGAGTCGCAGAAGTTCCCCAAGGACACTCTGCACACTAACTCCTCATCTGGAAGAATTTGTAGGTGGTCTTGCCCATTCTTTTCTGCAGGTTGATTTTGCATTTTGCTTGTTTTCTCCTTTCATGTACAGAAACTGAACAAGCTGCTAAAAATAAACCATCTAAAAAGTGACACTGTTGTATTTTTGTTGTTTGGATTTCTTAGGTAGGATCTCACATTATAACCCAGGATGCCTGGAACTCATCCAACAACATAGACTGGCACGTAAGTCATGACAATCCTTCTGCCACAGTCCCCAAAGTGCTGAAATTACAAGCAGGAGCCACCACAGCTGGTAAGCAATATCACTATTACATATACTCTGTGGTTAGAGCTGTGTCTTCTACGCTTCTCTCTTTGCTGGTAAGAACAGATCCCCTGTCCAGTGGAAATTAATGGTGTCATCACTGGGAAAATACTATTACTCAGTTAGAGTCATCTATTGGGGTCTTTGGTGTGGATGGCCTTAGAATTCAGAAGCTTTGGTCAGCAGCACGGTTGGAAAAATACCCTCCGAGTCCTGAAATTCATGGGCCAGGAATCTGCCAACCAGACATGGATCAGTGAGTTTATCCTGTTGGGGTTTTCCAATGATTGGGGCACTCAGGTCTTCCTCTTTGCCCTGATCCTTGCCATGTACTTGGTAACCGTTGCAGGGAATTCCCTGATTCTTCTCCTCATCAGGCTGGACAGCAGGCTTCACACCCCCATGTACTTCTTCCTCAGTGTTCTGTCCGTAGTGGACCTTTGCTATGGGAGTAGTATTGCCCCGCAGATGCTGGCCCACTTGGTTTCAGCCCGGAAGCTCATGCCTTTTCCCAGCTGTGTGCTCCAGCTCTGCGTCTCCTTGGCACTGGGTGGCTCTGAGTTCTTCCTTCTGGGAGCCATGTCCTATGATCGCTACGTGGCAGTACGCCACCCACTGCACTACACCGTTATCATGGATGGAGGACTGTGCCGGGGGCTGGCTGCCAGTTGCTTGGTGGCTGGTTTCTTGAATTCACTGATGGAGACGGTGATCACCTTCCGTCTTCCTCTGTGCCACGACGTCATTAATCACTTCGCCTGTGAGACCCTCGCAGTTCTCCGGCTGGCCTGTGTAGACATTTCTTTCAACAAGGTCATGGTGGCCGTCTCAGGGTTCCTGGTGATCATGCTTCCCTGTGGCCTGGTTCTATTCTCTTACGCTAGTATAGTCATCTCCATTCTGCGCATTCACTCTCCCCGGGGACGTCGCAAAGCCTTTGGGATGTGTGCTTCTCACCTCACTGTGGTTTGCATGTGCTTTGGGGCCACAATCTTCACCTACCTAGGGCCACGCTCTGCCTCTTCTGAAGACAAGGAGAAGGTGGTTGCTCTGTTCTATGCTGTGGTGGCACCCATGTTGAACCCCGTGATCTACAGCTTGAGGAATAAAGAGGTCATGGCTGCTCTTAGGAAACTTGCCGAGAAATTAAGGTGAGAGAAGGAAGATCTTTAGATGTTTGGACCATCTATGGTCAGAACCAAACCAGCGATCAGAGAAATGTTGGTAGAGTTCCTACCCTTCATCAAGGAAAAATTGATCACTGTAGTCATATCATCATGGTCAAAGACCTTTCTATGCATGTCTAAGGAACTTAATCACAGAGAAACACTGAATATCTGCCCGTCAATAACCTATGACATACCCCCTGAGATCCTGTTCTCTCTGCCTTACAATGACTTGGAGACTCCATCTTCAATGACAATGGATTTTGTCATTCTAACAGTGACAAGGGAATGAGCCTCAGCTTCTCCAAACACAGTGGGTGGCAAATCCTTGTTCTGCCTTTCATTAGCTGTGCTCTCTGGTAAGTTACTGAACTATTTTATGCCAGGAATACTCTGTTTGGCTAAATGCTGAAATATACTTAGCTTCCAGAGTGGCTGCAAACACTGGGGCAATTTATGTTAAATGCCCTCCCACCGGCAATTACAGGAAAAGTTCACTGTTCTCCCTCCTTTAAGTGACCCAAACCAAACTGACAGCTAATTCAAAGACATAAGCACTAACACAGAACGAATCACTCTGTTTCGCCTTTGAAGTATGGATGCAAGCAGCTGGATTTTTTTGAGATATAGACCCAGCTCTGATCATTCTTGCCAAAGAAGAAAATTTTATATCAGTTATAAATTGTGTGAATGTATGACTTTTCTGTTTTCATATCTTCAGTTCTTGTGAGAATGAAGTGTGTTCCCTAGAGTTTTTAATTGGGATTCTTTCTCAGGTAGCCTAAGAAAATTTCTGAGAGAAGCACATTATATCAAAGAATTTATGCTGACTTAATGTTCTATAAGATTTATATCTGAGGGGGCTGGAGACATGGCTCAGAAGGTCTCTTGCAGAGGTCTGGAGTTCAATTCTCAGCACCTAAGATGCCTTCAAACTTCCTGTAACTCCAGTTCTAAGACATCCAACAGCCCATTCTGGGCTCATATGCACAACTCCTCTGCCACCACACATACACATAAACAAAGATAAAAATAAAATCTTCTAACAAATTGATGTGTATGTATGTCTGTGTGTTTATATACATATGGGTCCTTAAGTGTGTTCAGGTTAAGGAGTATGGATAAGGGCCGTGAAAGAAATTATGAAATTTTGTAACATTAACTTATTTATAATGTAACCTTGAGTGATTTGAAAGTTCTAGAAATATATAGAAAGGTACATTTTACTTTTGCATCAATTTAGGGAAGTCACTTGGAGTTCACGCTGAGCTGACTGATAGAACCAGGCCTTCTTTTAATTCAACTTCAAACTTCCTCCTTTATTCTTAAATATTCTCTACTCAATATTTTACCTTGTTTTAGTATAATTGATATGTTCATATTGTATATGCACATTTTAAATTTATATCTACATTAATTCCTACATAAAATTGTAGATATTTTGGGGTTATTATCTATTCCTTTTCTTATTCTAACATTCTCTCTCTCTCTCTCTCTCTCTCTCTCTCTCTCTCTCTCTCTCTGTGTGTGTGTGTGTCTGTGTGTGTATGTGTGCGCGATCCAGGGGCAAGTTTCAGGAAGATTTTTTCTTCCACAATGTGGGTTCTAGGGATTGAATTCAGGTCATCAGACTTGACAACACTGGCCCTAGTCCATTGAGCTATTTTGCAAGTCCTATATATGCTTTCCAATGGAAAAAAGTACCTGATTGCTCTTTTGGAAGATGAAGGCCATGGTCTTGCAATGGAAAGGGTTTCATCTTACAAACATAGTGTATATACAAAAATGCTGTGTGTAATGATGAGCTGATAAACACTACTGTCTAAAATATAAGAACTCTGGCATTTTGTCACTACTCAAAGGCTTTTAATGTAATACTTTTATAATATAAAAGCATTGAAACTTTAAGGATCTAGGTAAGATTACGTTCTACTCTCTCAATGTTTCTCAGAGCAGGCTGATGACTCAGCACATGTAGGAGCTTGCCACCAAGCCTTATGACACTGATTGTCAGAGCCTCATGGTAGAAGGAGAAAGCACACTCCATCAATTACCTCTACATGAATACCCATAGTAGCACAGGCACTCACACATGTGCACATATATATGTACACACATGCTAAATGCATATTTAAACAGTTTTTCATATTGTAGTCAGTGAGGTTTTGTTTTAAAAAAAGACAAATTTGGGGGGAAAGCAGTGGAGATCGATGTGGGAGGGGTCAGAGTAGTTAACATAATCAAAATGCAGGTTATGTGAGCATGAAGAATTCTATTAATTGCCATTCTGGGCTTTTGTGACTTTCTCAATTACATAAAAACACAGAGACTACAGTCTCTGTTTTCTAGATCTGTCATTTTATTATGTTATTGCTAACAGGAAGATGGAAGCTTCATGCACAAGAACTATCACTTCATATTCAAGAGGATTGTTTCAAGCACTGCTCTGTTTGTTTATATATATATATTATTTTTAAATTTAAATTTAAATTAGAAACAAGGTTGTTTCACATGTCAATTCCGTTTCCCGTTTCCCACCACAACCACCCCCCAAAATCCCCTCATTTCCCCAGGGAGGGTCAGGCCCTCCATGCGGGAGTCCATAGTCTGTCATTTCATCCAGGCAAGGCCTGGACCCTCCCCGAAGTGTTCAGGGTAAGAGTACATCAATCATTGTTGGATGGGAGTCCAAAGTCCATTTGTATACAAGGGATAAATACTGATCTACTACCCAAGGCTCAATAGATTAACTAGGTGTCCTCACTGACACCCACATTCGGGGGTCTTGATCAGTCCCATGCTGGATTCCCAGGAATCAGTCTGGGATTCAAGAGCTAACACCTGTCAGGTCATCGGTTTCTGGGGGTTAAACCAGCCCAATCTTAATCCCTTCGGTCATCCGGCCTCCCTCTCGGTCACTGGATTTCTTGAGTTCAGCTCAGTGCTTAGCCGTGGGAGTCTGCCTCTGCTTCCATCACCCACTGAATGAAGGTTCTGCTTCCCAGACTCTCTGGCCATGGAATTGTAGGCTGGCACTCCCCAGATCTATGTCTAAAATCCATATATGAGAGAGTACATGCCATGTTTCTCTTTTTGTGGCTGGGTTTCCTGGCTCAGGATGGTTTATTCTAGTGCCATCCATTTGCCTGCAAATTTCAGGATTCCATTGTTTTTTTCTGCTGAATAGTACTCCATTGTGTAAATGTAGCACATTTTCTCTATCCACTCTTCAGTTGAGGGGCATCTAGGTTGCTTCCAAGTTCTGGCTATTACAAATAATGCTGCTATGAGCATAGTGGAACAGACATCCTTGTTGTATGAATGGGCATCTTTTGGATATATGCCTAAAAGTGGAGTTCCTGGGTCTTGTGGTAGGTTTATTCCCATTTTCTGAGGAATCTCCATAATTATTTTCAAAATGGCTCTACAAGTTGACACTCCCACCAGCAGTGGAGGAGTGTTCCCCTTTCACCAGATCCTCTCCAGCATAAATTGTCATTGGTGTTTTTGATTTTACCCATTCTGAAAGGAGTGAGATGGCATCTCAGAGTTGTTTTGATTTGCATTTCCTGGAGGGCTAAGGATGTTGAGTGCCTCTCAGCCATTTTAGACTCCTCTGTTGAAAATTCTCTATTTAGTTCTGTAGCCCACTTTTTAATTGGATCCTTTGGTGTTTTGGAGACTTGCTTCTTGAGTTCTTTGTAAATTTTGGAGATCAGCCCTCTGTCATATATGGAATTAGTGAATATTTTTCCCATTCTGTGGGCTGCCTTTTTGTCTTGCTGACTGTGTCCTTTGCCTTACAGAAGTTTCTCAGTTTCATGAGGTCCCATTTATTAATTGTTGATCTCATTGCCTGTCTCCTGTACCAATTCATTCAAGGGTACCACCCACTTTCTCTTCTAAGAGGTTCAGTGTGGCTAGGTTTATGTTGAGGTCTTTGATCTATTTGGATTTAAGTTTTGTGCATGGCAATAGACATGGATCAGTCAGCATTCTTCTACATGCCAACATCCAGTTATGCCAGCACCGTTTGTTGAAAATGCTTTCTTTGTTCCATTGTATATTTTTAGCTTTTTTTGTCAAAGATGAGATGTTTATACATGTGTAGGTTGATATTAGGGTTTTCAATTTGATTCCATTTGTCTGTCTATTTTTGTGCCAATACCAAGCTGTTTTCAGGACTATAGCTCTATAATAGAGCTTGAAGTCAGGGATGGTGATGCCTCCAGACGTTGCCTTGTTGAACAGGGTTGTTTTGGCTATGCTGGGTCTTTTGTTTTTCCATACAAAATTGATTATTGTTCTTTCAAGATCTGTGAAGAATTGTGCTAGTATTTCAATGGGGATTGCATTGAATCTGTAGATTGCTTTTGGCAGGATTGCCATTTTTACTACATTGATCCTACCTATCCAAGAGCATGGGAGATCTTTCCATTTTTTGAGTGCTTCTTTAATTTCTTTCTTTAAAGACTCAAAGTTCTTGCCATACAGGTCTTTCACTTGTTTGGTTAGCGTTATCCCAAGGTATTTTATGTTGTTTGTGGCAATTGCAAAGGGTGATGTTTCTGTTTTCTTTTTCAGCCATTTTGTCATCTGTATATAGTAGGACTACTGATTTTCTTGGGTTGATCTTGTAGCCTGCCACTTTGCTGAAGGTGTTAATCAGCTCTAAGAGTTCCCTGGTAGAGTTCTTTGGGTCACTTACGTAAACTATCATATTATCTGCAAATAGTGAATGTTTGACTTCTTCCTTCCCAATTTGTATTGATTTAATCTTAGCAAGTAATAGCTATCCAGGAAGTCGTCCATTTCCTTTAAATTTCCAATTCTGTAGAATATAGGTTTTCAAAGTATGACCTGATGAGTCTCTGAATTTCCTCAGAGTCCATTGTTATGTCCCCATTTTCATTTCTGATTTTCTTAATTTGCATGTTCACGCTCTACTGTTTGGTAAGTTTGGACAAAGGTTTGTCTATCTTGCTGATT